GTGCTAGTGATGTGAACAGACGACGAGACAAGGCACTTGAAAGTGAGTGAGGACAAAATGTCAGGGAGGCTTCTGAGCAGTGGCACTTTGGAGAATAACTGCAGGGGAGGGGTGCAGGGAGAGAAAAGGATTATCAAGTTGCATGGAGTGGGATTGGACACAACTGAAAGAAAACCAAGGAGGAGGACAGTGGGAGTCTGGAAGGAAAAGAAAGTTAAGTAAGTCCGGGATAGGTACCAGACACCAATCTCTTAGGCGTTACAGATTGCCATCTACTCACTATAGCAGAAACAGCACATGCAAATAAGAAAGAGGCAGGAGGGGCTGGCAGGGATCTGTGCCTCACTCCCTACTCTTAGGCTCACAGCACATCTTTTCTTTTGCTGTATTTCTACGGAGAAAGTGAGCATTAGTTAAACTTTGTTTTCAAGTCTAATCAGCTGGGAGTGCAACTTCTGGAAACCTAGTCTTTACCTGCAAATACCTAAGAGTTTGAAGGAAATTTCAACTTCAGGTCTTTGATTTTGCAGTATGGATTACGTAGTGCTTGGCAGAGCAAGTGTAGCTGTGACACTGGCAAACTGTGCAGCTGGAAGGTCCTAAGAGATAAGAAGGCAAAAATAATTTAAAACAAAATATTTAAAAACAAAAATTTTAAAAGGCTTATTTTGGCTTGTTACCATATTAGTACTAATTTACTTCTTCTAAAAACCTTAGGAGGTATTGAACCATTTTGCAGATATGGGAATTAAGGCACAAAAAAGCTTAAGTAATTTGCCCAAAGTCACTTAGGAACAGAACAGAGGTCAGTGCTCAGGTCTGTCTGACTCCAAAGCCAAAAAGCCATGTTACTGTGTGCCAGGCAGAGGTAGCCATTGACATACACAAATTATCTTATCTGGTCCTTAGCCCAATGACAGGTACTACAATCACCATTTTGCAGATGCTCAGAGAGGTCAGGCTATCTTGGTTGTCAATACTAGTAGAATTAATTGCAATAAGAACTAGGAAAGTTCAGTAGTAAACTCTCAGTTAACATGCTTGAAAAAGGAGTATTTTGGGTTAAATTTTGAAGAGATAAAGGCAATAGGGTGGGGGTAGAACTCCATCTAAGGCTGATTTTCTAGAAACCCCAAGGGAACCAGAAGCCTCTCTTTGTTTTCATCAGTGTTTAAAAACTCTAAATGTGTTTATCCATTATTTTATTTTAGAATATACAGTTGGATTGAAGCTGTCATAACTTTGTCAAGACATTGTAGTCAAAGTCGGTCATAATTCCAAGTCCATGTAACCTCTCCTACTCTTTCCCCATAGTCCCAAATTTTTGCTGCACATGCTTTCCCCTCCCCACTTCCCTCAGCCACACATCCCGTGCTCATTTCTACCATTATGCTACTGCCCCTGAGGAAATACAACTCTCAGAGAAAAACTCAGGTTAACTCCTCAAATAGAGGCTTCTGCCTACTCATCTCAAGCTCCCTAACCCTTAGCTGGCCCCACAACTAAAGGAGAGACTATCAATCTTAACTGGAGTATTGAGAACAGACTTAAGACCAATGGCATTTTCTACATAACGGATACATGTTTTCTTCGCTGCTTTAGTCAGTAAATAGAAATGTATTTTATAGTATACAGTCTGTATTATGTAAATGGTTTACCTAAACCTCTTTGAACTCCAGCTCTCGACCCTCTGTGAAGGTGCCAAGTCTGGTGGAAAGAGCCCAGGCTTTACAGCAACACACAGAGAGTACAACTTCACCCCTTACAGACCTGGAGCTCTCTGAGGCCTCAGTGATGAAGTGTATGTAGAGGAGAGTGACAACCAATTCAGTGTTAAGTTTATAACCTTTTCCAGTATAGTCATCAACACCAAAATAGAGTCCTCAATGATAATTTTGATGACTTACATGCTCACAACCCATTATAATTATAGAGCACATTTACAGAGTGATAATGAAGATTAATAGACACATAGGCGCATACATAGTGGCTAGCACAGTGCTTGGCACATACCAAGTGCTCTAAAATGTTAGCTTTACCTCAGTGTCTACCTAGGCCAGTGTTCAATATATGATAGATATTCGATAAATCCTTATGTTGGTTGATGTAAAATATGGAATGTAGAAATGATTCATTTATTGACAATGCTAGAAATGATCATGTGCCTCAATATGTTAAAAAAACAATGAAGGGCCCAGCCGGCGTGGCTCGGTGGTTGAGCATTGACCCATGATCCAGGAGATCTGGGTTTGATTCCCAGTTAGAGCACATGCCCAGGTTTTGGGTTCGATCCCCAGTAGGGGGCATCTAAGAGGCAGCCGATCAACGACTTTCTCTCATCATTGATGTTTCTATCTCCCTCTCCCTCTCCCTTCCTCTCTCTGAAATCAATAAAAACATTAAAAAAACAACAACAACAAAAAAACAAGGCCCATCATTTCTGAAAACCAAAACACTGCAGAAAAGACATTACTATGTTCACTTTTTAGGTATCAAGGCTGGTAGTATGGATGCTGAAGCTCGCTTTTCCTCCTCAAATCCAAGTAAGTGCTGACGCTTCAGAGACACTGACAGGTGCCTATGACTGCTTTTTACACAGAATGACATAGCCAAAATGTCCATTTTTGTATAGGTAGGCTGGAGCAGTATAATTGACTGTAAATCAATTATCCTTTTTTGCCTATTCTTCTTCCTGAATCTCCTACAAACAGCAAAACAAGTCTATTGGTTCAATCTGTAACCTAGAAGATTTATCCTTTATTTCTTCCTCAGTCCATTTCAATAACTCTTCTTGAAGTCCTGGAGAGACATTTCTTCCAAAAGAGTTTCCACAGCCTTTCCCTTTACTTTATGTAAGAGGCCAAATAAGTACAGTATTGTTAATGATGAAAACCCTTTTCCACATTGTTGGAATATTTCTTGCCACATTTTCCCCATTTGATCGAAACACATCCAGCTGCTGTCATTCTTTAGGGCATAGAATACAGTGGTCAAAAACTCTTAGAAACTGAAATGAAGGAAAGTGTAAACCTTGACACCTCCTTCAGCTTTTTTTTTGCAAAAAGTCATTGACAAAAGTGCAGCTGGTATCATACACTCCTATCCCATGTCTTCTGAGGTCGTCGACTTCAAATAGGACCTGCTGCTTCTGCAGTCCCTTTGCAGCCAAAGAGCAAAGCCCCACATGCAACTTTGTCCCTTCCACACAGAGATGCCTTGTAAGGGTTTTGAGGCACTTGGAAAAGTAGGACAGATACACATCACTCAGGGTCTGAAGTGAGGTCTTAAGAGTCCTGTCACCATCTCCCTGTGACTGCAGGACACTGCAGATCATCCAGGAGATGATGAGAAGACAATGTCAAGGCCTTCATTTTCTTGCAGACCATAAAAGACCCTCATTACTGCATCAGCACCCGAAAACTGACTCAAGAAATATGCTCTTTCAGCATATGTAAACCATAGTATCTCTGCCTGGATAGCTTGTTTTAATAATGAGTGGAGCTTCTTCATGGTGGTAGGACAGGCAGTTATCAGGAGGAAGGATTTGGGGAACAGTTTTTTCCTCACAAAACTACTGGCTTCCTCTCCTGAGAATTAGCACTAAGATCCTCTTCCTGGTCACCTACAGGGTACTGAAGCTCAGGAAACCCATCAAGAATGAACAGAAGCTTCTCTGGATACATTAAGAATGACGTCCAGGATTAGTCCATCCAAATCTTGAAAAGTGTTAGTGATCAGGTAAGCAGCACTAAGGTTAGCAATACGGTTTATTTCTCTGCAGTTTATGTAGATGAGATAGTCAAACCTGCCTGGAGTAATCATTCCTGCTGCCCAGTCAAACATGAACTTGTGTACCACAGCTGTTTTCCCAATCCCAGCACATCCCTGAAGTACCTACCACAGTTCGTGATGAGCTGGAATCCTCTTCATTAGGATCAAATACATGTTCCACTTCAATGAAATTATCTTGTTGAGGAATTCCATATGGTGTCTCTTCTGATATACTGTGCTCTTTCGCAACAAGCAGTCATGACTTTATATGCTTGTCATGGTGATAACATTTATTGACTCTTATTTAGGTATTTTTCTTTCAGATGTTTTCTAAATACTTCCCAGTAATCTAATGAGGTGACACTAAGAGTTACTAATCGCATAATACTAGAAAATAATACAAAAAGCAACTATAACTAATATCATCATCACCACCATCTCCACTGGGATGTCTCAAAGGCTCCTCAAACTTTACATGTCTAAACCTGAGTTCTTGATTTCTATGCTGCTGCCCACCTCCCACACAAAAAAGTACCCTCCCCAGATATTTCATCTCTCAGTGAAACTCTATCACCCAGTTTTTCAGAAAAATGTTAGGAATCATTCTTTTATTTTTCTTTGAATCCTTCACATCCAGTCAGTTAGCAAGGTCTATCATTTACACTTCCAAAATAAGCCTCCAATCCATTTACTTATCACTACATCCTCAAATACCACCCAAGTACAAGGCACTATCACCTCTTTTGTGGAGTGCTAAAATAGCCTCCTGCTTATATACTCTTGCCTAACTATGGATCCTCTCCACACAGCAGCCAATGTGATCTTCTAAAAATATCAATTACATCATGTCACTGTCCTGCCCAAAACCTTTCAAGACCTTTACATTGCACTTGGTATAAAATCCAAAATCTTTAACTTATCCTACAAGGTGTGCCATGATCCGGGCCCTACCTACCCCCCCTTCTCAGCCTCATTTTATATCACTCTCCTCCTCAGTACCTATACTAAAGCCACACTGGCCTACTTTTAGTTTTTCACAAATGCCATGTTCTTTCCCACTTCAGTGTCTTCCCACCAGCTTTTCTCGCCGTGTGAAACACTCTTCCTCCTGCTTTTCCCATGGAGAGTTCATTCTCATACTTCAGATCTCAATGTAAACATTACTTCCTAAAAGAGGACTTGCCTGACCACCCAATTTAAAGCAGATCTTCTCTACTATTTTCTTTCCACTTATCGCAATTTATAATTGTTTTCTTTGTTTATTTTATTTCATCATCTGTCTTTTCCACTAAACAACAATCTACATAAAGCAGGGACCTTATCTGTCTTCTTCACCATAGTACCCCTGAGTACCTAGCATGGGGCTTTGCACACAGGAGACAATCAATAAATATTTATTGAATATAGCTATAAATGCTTTTGAATTAAAAACAAGTCATTTAGCCCTGGCTGTGTGGCTCAGTTGGTTGGAGTGTCGTCCCCTGTACCAAAAGGTTGCAGGTTCAGTTCCCGGTCAGGGCACATACTTACGATTTGGGTTTGATCACCAGTCGGGGTGTGTACAGGAGGCAACAGATCAATGTTTCTCTCTCTCTCTCTCTCCCTCCCTCTCTCTTTCTCTCAAATCAATAAACATATCTTCAAGTGAGGATAAAAAACCCACAAGTCATTTATTATTGCCTATTATATTACATAATTTCTGATTTAATTCTCACAATAATTCTGTAAATTTTATGGTTGAGGAAATTGAAACTTAGAGCCAGGGTTATAAGCTCTTGGGTGTGCAATCTATGCACAGATCTTGTGCTCAGAAGGACTCATGCTTGATGTAATGCTCTGATGTTGCTTTCTCGAAATTCTTAATAATTTTTGAACATGGGGCTTGCCTTTTCATTTTGTACCATACCCCATAAATTATGTGCCAGTTCTGCTTAGAGTATAAAGTAACTTCTCCAAGGTTCAACAACTAGTAAGTGGCAGGGACTAAGATTCAGGTTTGTCTAAAGACAAGGTCTATGCGCTTAAACACTATATACTACATAGCTTGTCACCTTCTGTGATTAGAAAAAAACAACAAAAAACAAACAATCCAAGGAGTCAGTGATCAAGTTCAAACTTCTGTTAAGTGAATGTCTAAACTAGCATTTCCCAAATAAGTGTTCCTTGGAACACAGTTTTGCAAGATATTAATAGGAGAGCTGAAAAAAAAAAAAGTGTCCTGTGGTCAAATGAGTCAAGGGGAATGCACCCTCTATTCCCTTTTATTTGAGTTTCTCAATGCACATAAGCATATGCAAGGCTTTGAGATGATCTACAGTAAAAAAAAGGCTGTTTAACTTTATTTAATCTCGCATTTTCTGTTCTTAAATGACTCAACAACCCATTTGTAAAAGCACAGTTTCTAACTACCAGAGAATAATATTCAGTAGAACTAAGTTTGGGAAATACTGATCCAGATGTGTTGGCAAACATTTTCTGTAAAGTTCCATAAATAGGTTTTTGGGTCTCTGATGCAATTACTCAACTGCCATCTTAGTTCAAAAGCAGCCACAGACAATATGTAAATGGTTGAGTATGGCTGGTTCCAGAAAAACTTAATTTATGAAAACAGGCAATTGGCTGCATTTGGCCCACTAGCTATAACATGCTGACTTCAATTTAGATTATTCCAGAAGCAGACTGGTCAATTCTAGCCAGAAAGTTGCATACAACTGGTGCTTGACCACCACCATCCGTAGTCCTCCCAGTATTTGAATACCTATTTATATGATATAAAAGTCCTACCTGTTATGATAGTTTGGGGCTTCAATATTACCCAAAAGATCAATGATTGTTGCCTAATGAATATGGGGGATGAAATGGGAGAAGGGTGGGGATGAACAGCCAGGTTCATGAAAGGCACTATTCCCAAGACAGAAAAAGAGATTAAAACAGATAAGACATCTACTTGTAAGTTTCTTCCATGAAAATGAAGCAAGAGAATTTGAAGCAGCTGTAGGAGAAGATTTGAGGGTTAAGAGTAGCACAAATACACCTTAATGCCAAAACATAAAATATAAAGAAATTTAGCCACACTGTTATGGCCATTCATGCTGTTCCCCAAACACAGATACAACAAAGAAAGTAAATCGTCGCCTCACATCTGTTCTAACTTACAAAGGTATTTTATAGCTAATGTCCAACATACAGTAAAACATAAGAACTTTGCACATAGATATATTTAGGGTATAAACATTTAAAGTTATATGATCAATAAGGAAAACTTTAGGTATTAACTTAAAGGGGCATATATTATTTGAAATGACTATAGGGTGTCCCAAAAAATGTATTCACATACTTTGAATAATTATTAAGGCAGTGTTTATTAAAATACATTTCATTTTCAAAATTGAGCTATCAGCTGTTAAAGTGTGTATATATTTTGGGGGAACACCGTCTATTTCTGGTATTCTGCTCTCCATTGAATATTAGCTTATTGTGTCTATTGGAGCTTCAGTTGAGCCTGACTTGTTAATAAGAAAGAATAAGGCATTGCTGATGTTAGACAGTTATGTACAATGACCTACATTCAAATTAAGTGTACACACATAATCCAAACTCTTACATGTATAGATATATAGATATTGCACAAGCACACACACTACCCTTCACATTCCTATAGTTTTTAGTACTTGAACACATTTAAAAGCAAGACTGAGACACAGAGATGGGAGAAGGTGTGACTAAGTGGATGGGAGGAAGCAGAGTCTGGAGAGGCAGATATTAGAATATCACAGAAATGGGCAGGCAAGTGAATGGTATGTTGAAGATAACCAGTTTCTATTCTCCTAAATAAACATTCCTTGGATTTCAGGAATCAGCCACATGGGGAAGAACTTCAAGCAATCTTCACTCTTTGCTCTTTTGTTCTGTCTACTATGAAAATCTGTAGTTATCTCCTGGGTATAGACCTGAAAAACTCCAAAACATGTATTCCCAAAGATAAATGCACCCCTATGTTCATTGCAGCGTAATTTATGGTGGCCAAGACATGGAAACAACCAAAGTGTGCTGCGATAGAGGACTGGATAAAGAAGATATGGTACATGTGCATAATGGAATACTACTCAGCCATAAGAAAGGATGAAATACTGCCATTTGCAACAACATGGATGGACCTTGAGAATATTACGCTAAGTGAAATAAGTCAGGCAGAAAAAGCTAAGAGCCATATGGTTTCACTCATATATGGGATATAAAACTGAAACTCTTAGACACAAACAGCAGTGTGGTGGTTGCCAGAAGGAAGGGTGTGGGGGTCCTAACATATGGTGACAGAAGATATGACTTGGGTGGTGGGCACACAGAGTAATATACAGATCTTGTAACACAGAAACCCACACCTGAAACCTATATGCTCATATTAACCATTGTCACCCCAATAAACTTAATAAAAAAAATCTGTGGTTATAATAAAAGGAGAGACTTAAGAGTCTTTTATGATTATAAATGTTTTAGGGATTATGGAAAACAGTAGAAACCACAATTGCCTCTTCTGTTTTTTTTTCCCCTCACATTTTCAGCATCACAAAATTGTGGAAACATTCTCAATAGACTATTAATGGGTAAACACTGTATCCATGTAATGTCTTAATATGCACACACCTATACACATGTGACACAATTTTAAATATTCAGAAAAATCCCAACGTCTGTGAGGAGAAGTAGGGGAAAGAGAATAGATAGTATTATCTAAATTATATGCTCTCCTACCTCATTTAGTTATTCACCTTTGTGTTCAGACAACAAACTCCAGGTACAACCAGGTTCCATGTCTTTTCTTTTCTTTTCTTTTCACTATTCATCCTAGCAAATCAAGAAGACTGTAATCCAAAACAGAAATGATGACTATAAGGCCTAGTGGAAGCCCAGAGTAAAAAGAAAAACTACTTGTTTAAGGCATTAGAGAACTGGGGAAGAAAGAAGGCCAAATAAGCAAGGTAAAGATAGCTGGGGTGGAAATGGGGAGATCACATGAAGATACTTTAGTACTTTGCAAAGAAGGTTAGAGGCAGTAAGGTTCCTTCCCCTTGGGAGTGTGGACTGGCATCTAAAAGCTGGGATCTCAAACCCAGAGCAGAGGAGAAGGGGAGCCCATGCCAGGTAGGCAGATGAAGCCAGAACAGTGTGCTTGCATGGAGGGGACTGCGCCTTCCCAGTGAAACAACGCAATCTAATGGAGGCACACAGGACAGGAGTTTTACAGGCTGGGTGCTGACCTTGGGAAAGGCTGTCCCACAGTGTATGGCTTCCCAATATAAAGGGGCCAGAGGGCTGCACTGAGTAGCCACTTACAGGGACCCTCTGACT